GGAAATTCTTTTTTTTGAGAGTGAACAGAATGTGCCATATTCTTGACCCGTCTGCCTGAGATGCTTGCTGTATATGGAAGCCAATACTGGACGTGAATTGTGTCGTTCTCTGTGTCAACTTGTTAGGTGGCAGTTGCTGTAGTGGAGTGGTGAGAGCGGCACATATGCATTATAGGAGAAAATTGTGAAATGACAGATTCCGGGTGTGATACTGAGGGAATGACTAACTAATAGGAGGGGCGCTCCAGGCTGTTAGCTTTGAAAAGCAGTTTGCACATTACTTTATCTTGTCAATCAGATTCCTGGAATGGAAGAGGTGACTGATAACTTGAATTAATTATTTTCTTATTGCATGCATGTGTTAATTCATGGTAATTTATGTCCCTTACAGGCCCAAGCCAGAATATCCAGAGTAAAGCGCCACCTCTGGCACGCAGATCACCACACCACTCTCTGTGCATATATTTATATCAAATGAAAGACTTTTTTAATCCTGTTGGAACAAGGAGCGACTGCCAAATTTGATTTTTAAATGTACTTTTAAGCTGTTCATGCTTTACGTTTGCATTTTTTACCCCTAACAACTAAACAACACTGAGCAGTGTTTACTGCTCTGATGGGATTTGAAAGTTACAGTTTTTTTCTCTCTCTGGCTAATCCTCTCTTTAAAACATTCCCCCATTCTAGAAAGAAAAAAATAATGCAGCAGAAGTTGAGTAGAACCAACAAGGCGTACCTCTCTCATTTGCAAATTATGCATGTGGTAATTTCATTTTATTGTAATTATATCACTCACAGAGAACATTCTTTTTGAGCCTTCCCACACAAAGCACAGAACAGCACTTTAAACAATTGCATTTGACTGAACATCTTTAAACATTTTGACAAATTTAACTACCCCCCCGAACACAGAGGATAAGAGGAAAAACATTTCTCTGATGAGAACCGAAACAGCAAGAAGTTCTAACAAGGAAAAGGCTGCCAGGTGGCGAACTGGCTGCACCAACAGAACGCACAATCTGTCTGCTTCTCCTTCCAAAGCACTGACAGCTGCCATCACCAGCCTCGCACACTCGCACTCAGTGGCTCCGCAGCTCCGGCCCATCCCTCTTTAGTGTTTCCTGCTAACCTCCGAGACAGGGTCACCTGGCCCCCCAGTTGGCCGTCTGTGGGGCCCTGCTGGCCCCCTGGAGACCTGCCTGCGTCGAGACGCGCTGTTAACACGGGTCTAGCAAAGCGTTTAATATGCAAACCCGAGGGCTATTCCTCTGACCCAAGAGCATAGCTTTTCTAACAGTGCAATCCAAGTGCAAAGATTTGATAGACAGCCATTTAGCTCAAACTACAGAGCTATAATCGTGTTTAAAGCTGCATAATAATGCTTGATTACATGACAGTTGCTTCATCTTTCCTTCCAAACTGAGTACATACATACACAGAGGCTGAAATGAAGTGAGCTACCCTAAGCAAGCATTGCAACCAGGCTAAAAATAAAATCTGGCAAAGTTATTCTGATCCCTTATTGGTCCCATAGTTTGATTTCACATTTAGCATTTGCATCCCCCCCTCCGCATAAACATTTCATTCTTCCCCTCCCGCAGCACAATGAGACTTGAGTGACTTTGGCAGCAGATTTTGGATCGGCGCTCCTGAACCCACCAGTGTATGTTATCAGCAGGTAAACAAGCTTTCGAACAAAGCCATAATGGAACTGCAAGCGGCATAAAGAGGCTCATCTCAAAAGCTATACAACCCATCAAAGCCAGTGTCATTTCCTCAACACTGCTCTGCAGCTGGAAAATGCATGCCTGTTAGTTACAGTTTAAACTGCCTGTCTATTTTCAGACACTTCACAACTATTTGTATTGATTATTATTTACTTGTCAGCACGCAGGCAGATTACCCGAATAAGACAACAGATTGTAATGTGTACTGGGTTCTTTTTCATTTTTGTTTATCAAAAACTGTGTCATGCACTACATTAATGGGATTTGCACTTATAGGGGTATTTGAATAATTATTTCTCCCTGAGAATTAAATAGTTCTGTCTATATTTGGAAGGATTACTGCTGTTAAACTAGCTCACAGGAATCAAAGGCTGTATCCCACACTTTTTGATCGAACTTATCACACTTTTCACCAAAACAGGCCTCCAAATTCTCATTCCTGTGTACTTTATTACACATTACACTACCCTCTCAGATACGCAAACATTTCCAATATGAACCCAATAAATGTGTTTAAATTCTGAATTATCATATTTATGTGTTACTAATAGTCATTATGTTCATCATGTGGGTAGAGAATCAAGCATCCTCCAGTGTTGCGCCTTCTCACATATTTCGCAGACATTTCATCACACGTTTAATCTGCCCCTGTCTAAGATTTTCCAGCGAAACCTGTAAGTCAAAATAGAGCGGGAGGACAATGCGGGATGAGATTATGAAGCATGTCTGTAAAGGCATGTCTGTTTGATCATCGCTCTCTGTTGAGGTAAAGTTCTGCACTTGGTCGCATCAGTGGCTGACAGCAGATATATAACCTAATCTCTTTGCCTAACCCTTTTTTCTTAGGCATGAATAGGTTGGGAATATGATGGCATTAAGTCGATTTTCTTCTTGGTTTGCAGTTTCCGCCGTAATGCTTCTTGGCTGTTCTTCAACAACACACTTGTTCCATTTAGATTTCCAACAAATATAAATGTTAAAGCGGTTGCCGATTTATTAATCCATCATTTCAAGTTCATGCGAATATTTACAACAGAAAATAATGCTTGTTTATTTTCACCCATCTAGTGCACTGTCAAGAGATACGGGAGAATCAAATACAACTTGTATTATCTTCAAATACTGGAGATGGGAGTGACAAAGAGATCTAAGAGTCTACTGCACGCTTTGTGCATCTTTACTGACATTTATATTTCACATTTACCCATCTAAACCTTCATTTAGTGCCAAGATCATTTGTTGACATATTCCTTATAAGCCTTTGGATTTTTCAAAAGATTCATTAATGCAGCTATCATTTTGCTATAACTAGAATGCATTTCATCTGCAGTTTGGCTGACAGAGCCACAGGATTGTGAGTTCAGGATATTGGTATTAGGGTCAGCCTTTTGTCATCATTTATTGATTGAATTGAAAGTTGTTTACACAACATTTGAAATTAAGTTAAATAAATGTTCAATGTAAATACTGTACTAAATAATACTAAACCCTCAACATATATATATATATATTTTAACATGAATTTGTCTTTAGTTACTTTTACTTTTTTTTCCTGTATAGAAGTATCTGTTAATGCTGTGATGCATACATAGCAGAATTAGCACTTACATTTTTTTGTAAAGTGCGTGTGGAAAAAATATTTAGAAACGGAATCCTAAATTAATTAACGTCTCTTTCAAAGATTTTCATTGTTTAAATAGAAAGACAGAGTATTCTCCAACAGCAGATGATTAACTTGTGTTCCTAATTGTGACACTTTCAATCAGCACTATTTTCAAAGGCATGGAAGGTGTGTGTGAAAGCATTGTGAATGGTGGAAGTAGCAGGAGACGGCACATGGCAGCGTTTGGTCCCATTCAGCCTGATGAGAGACTCCCACAGCACTGAGCTCAGCAGGGGGTTGTAAACATTTACACTAAGAGCCTGTCCAGTGCACATGGTTAGAGCTTGCCAGCCACCTCGGTATCGAATGTTGTGTTGCATATTTTGTCATTCAGGCCTGTCCCGAAATTGTAGGAATCACACCATCAATTTATGAAGGAGCCATCCAAATGTGACAACAGGCTTATGCTAAATGAGAAAATAGAGCTAAACATTGTTAAAACACCCCAAGACCCACATGGTAGGGAGCGCGCGGCGGAGAGCTGCTATGCACCCCGCTGTGAACTGGGAAAGTGGGCTTGGTGGGCTTCCTGCTCATGAGGGCCGCATCGTTCTTGGGCCCCGATTTGAAGCCTTTTTGAAGTCTGTTTGCTGCCGCGGCGTGCCAACATTAATTTCTACACACAGGCAAAACACACAAAATCAAGTGAATGCAATAATGTGCCATTACACGTGGTACCTGATCCACAGAAACAATTAAAACTATTAAGAAACTGCTCCTGCGTCGTACAGTGTTGGAAGTGTACTGTAAAATATCAAATAGCTTTGCTACACCTACAACATCTTCATTAAATAAATTGTGTTGACTAATACTATTGTTAACATTTGGGGGTGTAAATATCACGTGCCTTTTTGTAAACCAGGTGAAATAAGTAAAAGCATCTCACATAAATTGATGTTGACAATGAATGTTGCTAAAAAAATAACACATTTTGTATTATCACATTCATTCAATGCTTATCTGCACATACCGATGAGGATCATTTATATCCCCCAAAATAATATAATTGAATTAAAACAAAGACATTATTTGTTTGGGTTCAATCCTTTATTGTTTGAAAACTCTATCTTTTACAATACCGTAGTTTCCTTTTTCTTGTGATTTGATGAATAATGTACAATGCCATCCGTTAATGAAATACAGCCACATTTCTACTTATCAATCTACAAAAGAGAAGTTTGTGCCGATATATTTCTCAGTTCTGACAGCTCATTTAACTTCCCTTTTCAAATCAACAAAAGCATTGTTCTGAAAGTGCATTTCAAGGATTGTAAAGATGACTGCCACCAGTCAGCCGTAATGTACATCAGTATTCAGAGGCCATACTGCTTTGTGACAAACAACTGTAACTACATTTCAAACTACAACATTTATCTTGATAAATGAAGAAAAATATCAATATGCATGCCATGAACATTCATCCATAAACATTTATAATAAATGTATTTTATTATTTAAGTTATGTTGATAATGACAGTATTTCCCATGAATGGACAAATGTTGGAATAGAAAACAAAATATTTTACATCTGCTTTTGTTTTACACGGGGTGCATGGCACAATGCCAGTGTGTAGGGCCATGCCCTAACAGTTAATAGCATTTGGTCCACATTAGCAAATCTGTTTAAAATGAAGCAAAACATGTCTCAGTAGAATAAAACAAAAGAAAATATATATATTTATATATACACATAATTCAGTTTTTAATGTCTTTGATTTTGTAAATATGAAATATAATGTGATGCTTCAGTTCAAAAGAGTAAGCAATATAAATATACATTTAAGCTCAGTCTGTGTCTTTAAACCTTTCTGTTCCATGGAACGGCCTTCACTCTGTAGAACTTTGTTCCTAAAGGGACTTTAAATCGGTTCTGTGCCTAAAAAAGACAGAATAACATACTGTTAATATACGTATGCACAAAAACAAGAAGCCTACTCCTTAGTAAGTAGTAGCTGATTTTTGTTTAACTATTATCAGGCTTATTACCTTTTTGGCCTGACAGTATTCTTTTTCCATCACCTTTCCTAGCACCCATGGACGTCTTGAAGTCCCTGACGCTAAGAACAAACAAAAACATGAACATAAATAAGACACATTTTCTGTGTTGTTTTTAAGGCTTACCAGGTTTAAGGTCCAGTGCAGTGAGAGACTCCGAATGGAGGAAATACAGGGTTGGACCCACAGTGAACAACACATAGTTGTCGTGTCTTTCATCCAAAATAATCAGCACCAGATCCCCAACTTGGAAACTGGGGAAGAACAGAGAAACACTCAATGAAGTGCAGTAAAAGGCGACTGGCATGCTGGATGTTAAAGTAACAAATCCAATTACAAATATGTAGGACTTACTCTCTGATAGCAATCTTATCCGAATGTCGTGACGATACAGACGACATGCTTTGAGACATCTACGAGTAGAAATGAGTGAATATTGGCACAGATAATAATATATGAGCTCTATAGAAATTAAGGTTATAAAGGAGTACAAATCTTGAACTTTTTAAATACAAAATATTTGCATTAAAAAAGTTCAAATCAAAATGTGATGTGTCTCCCCTGACCAAATGGCTCACTGCTTTATTTTTTAAAGATGCTAGTGCCACCCAGTGGACAATTGGGCACAGAGCAGATCTGAGATTATGTACTGTATGAAAGCAAGAAGCTCTCTCCTATAATATTTAACTCTGATAACAAATAAAGTCAGATTTAAATCTGTAAGAACAATGTTGGGTACTAACACATGGATGTATTTTTAAGCCCCTGTCACATCTTGAGATCACATTTCTTAACTTAAGCTCCATTCAGACCGGTCCAAGCATTGTGTCAGGTTTGCATGCAAAGTCTTTGGGGGAAAATGTGTGCATCAACCACAGATGACTGAAAACAGTGGAACTAGTGACTGTATACTTTCACCCAGAGTTCACATTCTACTGTGACTGGATTAAACTGCAGGATGTTCAGGAGTTAGGTTTGTGAGGTGATCCCAGCGTAAATAAGTGAGGACAAACCCGCCCACCATGTCGATGCCGGGTCAGGTTCACTTGATTCTTGCGTCTGATTTCTACCAGGTGTCGGAGACTAAAAGCCGCAGCGCTTTTAAGCATTGCCATTGTGAACGCAGCTTTAGTCAGAATTGTTCAAAAGAAAGGAGCACTATTACTCAGCCAATCAACCAAAAGTCTCAAAGAGTGGCTCACAGAGCGTTTTATGCATGCAAAGGTTTATAGGACCTTCTGGCCGATCTGTTTTAGTCTTTTGCACTTGCGACATTACATATTATATAATAGGCTAGTCTAGTTTTGCTTGTTCGATTGTGTGAGGGTTGATACACTATTTACTAACCAATCTTTGATTGAGGCGCTTGTTCTCTTCTTCCTTCATATGTAAGGTCTGCAGCCAAACCAAACATTAATAACATGTAGATATAAAACATATAAATGTAAAAACATATGATTGTAAATTGTATTAATAATAAGAAAATTCTTACCCGCTCAAGTAGAAGTATTCTTTGTTTTTCCTCAGAGATCATAACATCACTGGATGGGGAGAGGGGCAACAGGTTTAGTAATAGTAAACATATGAAACAACATGCACAGTGACATACTTATGGCCAATTCAAATTTCATAAAAACCGACCAACAACTTGTTAAAAGCAGAGAAAAAATAAACAGCACTAACAACACCACCACCAAAGCTTAGTGTCGGATCGAATTAGGGCAAAAAGCAAAGAGATAGATGTAAGCAGGACTATTGTGTTGATCCGTCCTCAGACCTGTGTGTGCTCCATGCATAGACCTCAGCAGCTGCTGTAGACCAACAAGGTTCATTTCATCTTCTGATTCCACAAGTGTATTCTTCTTTCAAAGACCAGTCTAAGGAAGACTGCACGGCAGTAGTCAAAACGGTCAGGTACATAAAAAACGCTCTGGTCTTAAAAAAAGAATCAACTTATAGCAGCCGATGTAGTGCCAGTTGTGTCTGCGAGACCCAGACCCACAGACCCATGGCTGGGGGTTAGTCCTAGTCTGGTTCAAGCCCGAGCTTCAGACTTCTGTATTGGGCCAGCACTTCTCCCACACTCGTGGACAGTATGACTGATCACCGCAACAGACAGAGCTTTTAGCTCACACTCTAATCTGAATGGTGCTTTTTCTAGTGTGATGGAGTGATGAACCCTTCAGATTAATATTGTCCTTTCTTCCCAAAGTTCTACTCCTTCGTTAGAACTCCAGCCTCCTGCTTCTGTAGAACACTCAACCTACTACAATGTATTTTACAACACTCTTTATTAGGTTTATTAAATATGCTTACTGGACAGTCACCATGCTCGCCTCCACAGCTGATTCCACATGTTCGTCGTCTTGAACAGCTGCTACTGAGAGCAGTCTCTCTGCGTCTCCCACCAGTTCAGAGGAGCAGGCCCCAGCAAAGGGCAGGGCTACAGCTGCTTCTGCCCCAGTGACACTGGACTCCTGTACTGAGGTCGGAGGGACGAAGAACGCAGATGAGATGAGGGCTGTGCTTCGCAGGCGGTTCAGCTCCTCCTCTAGCTGTTTCTTCTCCTGCATCAGGCTTGCCCGATCCTCCGACAGAGTCTCAATTAAACCTAAGACAATGGCAAAAGGAACCCTGTTAGTGACTTTAAAGCTAATACAGACCTGGACCCACATTTTCACTGGCATACAAGATTAGTAAGTAAGTAATCTTTTATTTATATACCGCCTTTCACAGACCAGAGTCACAAAGCGGTTTACAATTGTTATTTTTGGGCACTTGTCCTCTCACTCCACACAGAGATGGGAGCGGGGTCGCCAAACAGGAGGCGCATGCCAGAACTATTGTACATATTTTTAGTGGTAGGGGAAACCGGAGGAAACCTACGCAGACACGGGGAGAACATGCAAACTCCACTCAGAAAGGCCCTGGTCCGACCGGGATTCGAACCCAGGACCTTCTTGCTGAGACGCGAGAGTGCTATCCACTCAGCCACCCTGCCGCCCGGTTTCTCAAAGGGTTTTCACAGCAGGTTTGTCTTAATCCACCATTATTATAATTACACTCCCACAACACTAAAGAACAATATGGGCTTCACATTCTTATTTCAAAAGGGGAACGTCAACAAAAATAGAACAAACACACTACATCCACTTTCCCAACGCACCTTTGTCTTTCTCCTGCTGTTGGGTTACACTCTTCAATTTTTCGGAAAGCTCATTGATGATCTGCTCCTTCCTTAGCTTTTCCCGTGTGAGGACTGTGTTGAAGTTAGTCTAAAAACACATTTTATATGTCAAAATAGCTGAGATCATGGTTGCAGCTTACAATGAAATGGGAAAACATAAAGCATTTTTACACTCCCCAAACGGCTTTGAATTTTTAAGGTGCCTTCACAAGGAGCCTCAATGGGAAGGGATACATAATGCTGGAGGAAGTGTGGGGAGGGGAAGACCATTCACTTTCACATATTTTGGGGCTGCCCAAAGCTCTCATCTTTTTGGTTACAGGTAAAAACATTATAGAAAGGGTTATTAGTATTGCCGCGCATGAAACCAATCCAACTTGAAGGACGTAGGAAAAAGGATATTTACTATGTACTATTGAGTGCAGTAAAGAAAAGTAGAGGAAGTAGAAGACTGGTTCAATGTCATTCATACAATTGATAGAATGGAAAAGCTCACATTTTCCATGATTTCATCTAAAAATGTGATTTAGCCACTTGATTTTTACCTTTTTATGTCCGGTTTTTAGTTTGTTCTTGTTTTTGCATTTTAAGATTATGTTTAAATTCTAAAAATGTATGACTGTTTTCTTTATAGTTTTATAATTGTACTATTTACTATTGTCCTAATACAAACTTTAATTTTGATTATACCGACCTGCTGCTCTGCAATAAGTGACGTCTTGAGGTTCTGGATCTCCTCCTTCTTCTGCTTTTCTAAAAGCTCTATCTGGTTCTGTAAAGAGTCCCTCTCCTGCTGCAGCCTCTCGTGTAGTGGTGCATCTAGAGGCCGCGGCTCATCATCATCGACACGCTCTTCCGTATTCAATGGCAAACTTTCATCACTGAAAAAAGGATTTCCTTAAACATTTCATATTTACAGTAATTACCATGATAAAATAAACAAAGCATACTATTACCTCTTCAGAGACTGCATTTCACTGAGCTCTCTTTCTAATTCTTTAATTTTGTCCAATAGTCTTTTCTCCATTTCATTCTTTTCCTGCTCCAATTCATTAAAGGCCTCTTGTGATTTGACCGGACAGGCTTCATTCTCCAACTTGAGTTTGTTTTGCTGTATATTTTGTGCAAATAGGTCATTTTCAGCCTGTAAATTGCTGATAACAGTCATCAACTCCTGCTTGTGCTCCTGAAAGTGAAGGATCTGTGCTTGATGCTCTTCATTTACAGCAACTAATTGTTGGTCTAGATCTTGTTGAAGTTTTTCACACCGCTCGTTGTGGTTTTGCTCAGTATCCAGCCCTTTTTGTTGCAGCAATAAAATTTCCTTGCGCAACAACTCTATCTCCTCCTCATGGCGATTGACCAATTCTGATATGCAATTGTCTTTTTCAGTCCTCATGAGACTTGTGAGTTCTGCTAAGCCCACTTCATGCTCTTCATGTTTGGCCTGAAGTTGTCTCTTTAAGTCCTCTACCTCTTTTCCCAGGATCTTGGTCTCAGCTTCAACTTGGGACTTGACAGAATCGGCATGCTGCGTCTTAGATTCATTCAGCAAGAGCTTTACCTCTTCTGTCTCAGACTCCTTCAATGCCAATTCAACTTCCAACTTGCAGCGAAGTTCAGCAAATTCCGTGAGTCGGGCCTCCAAGTCCTTAATTTGATTTTCCTTTTCTTTAACAAGAGCAGTGTGCTGGTCTTCCACATCACACAATTTGGATATATAATCTGCTTCAATTTGCTTTATGGCCTCTTGGTTGTCTTTGGTCAGAGTCTCAACTTTGGCGCTGTATTCTTTCTCTAGTTTCTCCTCTTGTTCTTTTAATAGAAGCTGCTCTTTTATATCATATTCCTGACAAATCTTCTGGCTGCGTTCGATCTCAACATGCAGATTCTCGACTTGGTTAGACAGAGAGTCTCTTGCATCACACATAGTTTTGATCTCTTCTGTTTGACCAATTATGCTCTGCTCCAGGTTCATTATTTTCTCTGTGTAGCTGCCCTCTTCTTCTATCCATTTCTGTTTTTCGGTCTCAAGTTGAGCCAATTCTTTCTCTTTGCGTTCCATTCGTCCCTCCAACTCCAACATGGCTCGCTGGACATCTTTTACTATGTTTTGATTAGTATGATTTTCTTCTGTTAGTGTCTCAATCTGTTTTTTATGCTCTTCTTTGAGTGTGAGAAGTTCATTGCTATGCTGGATGCTCATTTCCTGCTCTTGTCTTTGGCTAGCTTCAGATATTCTGTATACTTCCAAAGAGATGCTCTGTACGACTGCACCAAAATCATGCTTTTCTTTTATAACTTGACTTTGGAGGTAATGCAAGTCATCTTTTACGTTCCTTAACTTGCACTGGGTGTCCTCTGCAATGCATCTGTTCTTGTCTATTACCTCTTTGAAAGCAGCAATCGCCGCATTCTCCCTCTCAAATATAGTAGTGTCCTGCATGCGCCTGTTGTCAATGGCATTGATGACAGAAGAATATAGTGACTCCACCATCATTTCAGGGCTGATGGGATCACTGATGGGGTTGGGTGAGGTTAAGTTATCTTCTATTACAAACTCATTGACAGCAGACATAAAGTCGGATTCAGGACTTTCAGCCAGAGAGTCCAGGTCAAGGGAACCCTGCTGCAGAACCGCATCCATATTTGGATGTCCAATAGTTTCAAAGTCAAATGTTTGTGCGTCAATGCTGTCTGGGGAAAGATCCTCCAAAGGAGCCGGTACAGGAACATCAAGCGGCTGACAGCTGGGCCCTTTAAGGCTTAGCGAGGGTGGCGTTTTTGAGGACATTGGTGTTGGGGTTCCAGGAAAGTTTTCGGATTGTGGTGTCATTGGAGAAGATCTATGGGCACTCTGACTAAAAGAGGCCTGAAAAAACACAATACAACAGTGTTTGTTAAATTACAGTTCAAACAAATTTAGGGTGGGAGTTTGCAGTTGGTCAAAAATGTATATAATAAGTCCAATAAGACCTCAGGTATATGCTTATCTAACATAAATATCTTGTTATTTACAGTGCCTTGCGAAAGTACTCGGCCCCCTTGAACCTTTCAACATTTCGCCACATTTCAGGCTTCAAACATAAAGATATAAAAAAAATATTTTTTGTCATGAATTAACAGCAAGTGGGACACAATCGTGAAGTGGAACGAAATTTATAGGATAATTTAAACTTTAACAAATAAAAAACTGAAAAGTGGGGCGTGCAATATTATTAAGCCCCCTTGCGCTAATACTTTGTAGCGCCACCTTTTGCTGCAATTACAGCTGCAAGTCGCTTGGGGTATGTCTCTATCAGTTTTGCACATCGAGAGACTGGAATTCTTGCCCATTCTTTCTTGAAAAACAGCTCGAGCTCAGTGAGGTTGGATGGAGAGCGTTTGTGAACAGCAGTCTTCAGCTCTTTCCACAGATTCTCGATTGGATTCAGGTCTGGACTTTGACTTGGCCATTCTAACACCTGGATACGTCTATTTGTGAACCATTCCATTGTAGATTTGGCTTTATGTTTTGGATCATTGTCCTGTTGGAAGATAAATCTCCGTCCCAGTCTCAGGTCTTTTGCAGACTCCAACAGGTTTTCTTCCAGAATGGTCCTGTATTTGGCTCCATCCATCTTCCCATCAATGTTAGCCATCTTCCCTGTCCCTGCTGAAGAAAAGCAGGCCCAAAGCATGATGCTGCCACCACCATGTTTGACAGTGGGGATGGTGTGTTCAGGGTGATGAGCTGTGTTGCTTTCACACCAAACATATCGTTTTGCATTGTGGCCAAAAAGTTCGATTTTGGTTTCATCTGACCAGAGCACCTTCTTCCACATGTTTGGTGTGTCTCCCAGGTGGCTTGTGGCAAACTTTAAACCAGACTTTTTATGGATATCTTTGAGAAATGGCTTTCTTCTTGCCACTCTTCCATAAAGGCCAGATTTGTGCAGTGCACGACTGATTGTTGTCCTATAGACAGACTCTCCCACCTCAGCTGTAGTTATCTGCAGTTCATCCAGAGTGATCATGGGCCTCTTGGCTGCATCTCTGATCAGTCTTCTCCTTGTTTGAGATGAAAGTTTGGAGGGCCGGCCGGGTCTTGGTAGATTTTCAGTGGTCTGATACTCCTTCCATTTCAATATAATTGCTTGCACAGTGCTCCTTGAGATGTTTAAAGCTTGGGAATTCTTTTTGTATCCAAATCCGGCTTTAAACTTCTCCACAACAGTATCTCGGACCTGCCTGGTGTGTTCCTTTGTCTTCATGGTTCTCTCTGCGCTTTAAACAGAACCCTGAGACTATCAAAGAGCAGGTGCATTTATACGGAGACTTGATTACACACAGGTGCATTCTATTTATCATCATCAGTCATTTAGGACAACATTGGATCATTCAAAGATCCTCACTGAACTTCTGGAGTGAGTTTGCTGCACTGAAAGTAAAGGGGCCGAATAATATTGCACGCCCCACTTTTCAGTTTTTTATTTGTTAAAAAAGTTTAAATTATCCAATAAATTTCGTTCCACTTCACGATTGTGTCCCACTTGTTGTTGATTCATGACAAAAAATTAAAATGTTATGTCTTTATGTTTGAAGACTGAAATGTGGCGAAATGTTGAAAGGTTCAAGGGGGCCGAATACTTTCGCAAGGTACTGTAAGTACATTTTGAATAAACTAAACTACTCAGTGTTTGGTTTAAGCTTTATTTATATACAGCCTTTCACAGAGTCACAAAGCGGTTTACAATTGTTATTTTTGGGCACTTGTCCTCTCACTCCACACAAGGATGGGAGCGGGGTCGCCGAACAGGAGGCGCATGCCAGACCTATTGTACATATTTTTAGTGGTAGGGGAAACCGGAGTACCCGGAGGAAACCTACGCAGACACGAGGAGAACATGCAAACTCCACTCAGAAAGGCCCTGGTCCGGCCGGGATTCGAACCCAGGACCTTCTTGCTGAGAGGCGAGAGTGCTATCCACTCAGCCACCGTGCCGCCCCGTGTACATTTAAGCACATGTACAGCAGGACTGTAGTACAACGCAGATTAAAGCTTTATCTTATCTTAAAAAACAACAACAAAAATATATACATTTAGTTAGATATCAATTTTGCAACAAGAAGAAGTTGACCCCTAATTTGTATAGACCTAAGATCGCATCAGATTGGAAAAGACACACTCTGTGTAAACTCGACATTTAGCTGTAACAGATCCATTAAGTTTTCTTTTTGTATTTGAATAAACAATGTCCTAATCTGATACAATCCATATTGGTGTTGGCCCAGGCAAGTGAGAAAGAGGCAGACCATTACATTATTGAATAAGAATCAAAATACAGTAACTATGAAATGGTTTTACTCAACGTAAAACCATTTCATAGTTACTGTATTTTGATTCTTATTATCTGATGTATTGATACCCTTATATTAGGTGTAATCTACAAGATGGTAATGACTCATCTTAAATTAATAGAAACGCGGGCATGGATTTATAGAAGAACTAGAAATGATGATGTTGTTTTGTAGATTTAAATCCTTTTACGGACTTTTTTTTTGCACTCTCAAATTTAGGACGTTTTTTTCAGCAGGGGGGGGGCTCTCTCTAGTGGCCGCTGCAGTTACAAGTTCCAAATCAGAAGTGGGTAATATCAAACTGCCCTGACGTCAAACAGCCGGGTGTGTAGGTTTCAGTTGTTGGCCTTAAGTGTGGATACTTGTCTGACCACACCAGCATCTCTTTCGTCCTCCAGGGCTAACTTTAAGACTGTTGTGTGATTATTGCATGAATGTTCATGGAATGTGGTCTTGTGAGTTCAGTTGGACCAAATACATTGAAATACTTCATGGTTCAGAGAGGTTTTTTTGTTTTGCTCCTATTAAGGCCAACTACAGTCATAATGTCGTCAAATACTTTGAACCACTGCATGCATCTTTACATACTTGCGCTCATTAGTTAGAGAACAAAGTTGCTTACCTTTTGCACACTTAGGAGGTCAGTAATCGTTCGAGACATTTCGTCCACACTTTGTGCAGCTTGAACCAAGTGACGGAGCGTCTGTATGTGTTGATGTAGGGGCTCGAAATCACACATAGTCGGAACCCTGCAAGTATGGACGTTTCACAATGGTCCAATGCAAGAGATATTTTGTTTTTTTCTTACATGAGGAAAGGTTGCACTTCAACGGGACAGCAGGATTTCAAGTACTGCAGGTCGTCAAGTGAGATGTCTGGAAGTTCATCATCAAATCTTCTGGGCTTTTGTGTCTGTAAAGAATAATATGTAACACATGAGTTCAATTCACACAGTAAACAATTTCCTCCGTGTCATCTCTGACTTACACAAAAAGAAGATGGAGGCCATGATTCAAGTCCTCTGAACAATCTATTTCTGAGGAAAGACTTTCCTGAAAAAGAAGCAACTCTGTTTTGAAAGGCTTCAATCTTAGTTAAAACCATATGTTATTACAAACAATAAAGGACTACTTGATGATACAAATGTCATGTTTGCTTACTGAACAGTTTTCCGAAGGTTTCCCGTTTGAACTTTTCCGCCTCATATAGTTGTTTTCCATCCTTAACCAGTGCATAGGCCCACTGAAACAAAAGTATTTGAGATCGACAGATTCATAATTGTCTTTATTTTTTTTTCCACCGGTCAAATAATAATAATGCATCGGACACTATAAGACGATTCACATGTCATTATTCATTCACTCCATACACTGTGGTGAACTACTGTAGCCACAGCTGCCCTGGGCACACTGACAGAAGCGAGGCAATCAGTAAGTGCCATCAGCCCCTCCGACCACCACCAACTTTTCACACACACTCATTCTAGGCAATGGGGGTGAAGTGTCTTGCCTAAGGAAACAACGGCAGTTTGGCACTTTACAGCCGCAGCCGCCCCACTGTGGCGTCTTGCCAAGGACACAACGACAGCCGACATCAGTGGGAGTCGGTGGAGAAAGTCTTGTGGGCTCGAACCCACGACCTTCAAGCTCAAAGGCTAATGCTCTACCAACTGAGCCACTGTCGCCCATTATTAGTGTAGTCAAGCCTACTGGTCAAAACAACAATGCCACAACAGCTGAGTTCTAACGCACTGCCAAATTAGTTTAGTATATTATTTCATATAATCTCAAAAACAGGACATTTACTTTGATAAAAAAAAATCATGCCCATCCTGTCTACACACTCGAAGCATTTTTTCTGCTTGTTATTTATTTTGTGCACGTTTCAGGCACTTAAACAAAGTTAAGTGTTGGACTTTGTATTATTAAATATTTACAGTTTTACTGCAAATTAATATTGGCAAATCTATATATCAATTATTGGCCTCTTTGATGACAAATGATCTGTATCAGCGCTGAACAAACACATATTGTTTTGTTTGTATACATAAATACCTAAATTGATTGAGTGGTTTTTCAAAACTCAATACATGAATCTCGAAATCTCTGGGTTCCAGCTCAGTCAATTTTGTCAAATATAAATTTAAAGCAAAAGAAACATTTAAAAGGTTTATGTTCCACTTTTTCATATTGACATTAATGTTACTACTGAAAAACCAATTCATTTGTCATATAGTACATGTTTTTTTAGCGTATGACTGACCTCTTTATAGTGGTGCATGAACATCTTCCTCCTAACGACTTCAACCACAGCAAGGCAGTACATGTGGGGCACACAGCTGAGGGCCTCGACCACTCTCACTCTCTCCAACAACTCAGTCAGAAGTCTGAGAAGAGCCTGCAGCTTCTCCCCATCCTGGTCTGCATGAAGCATAACATAACAGCACCATCTAGCACAAAGAAGCGTGTTAGTGTCACCATTTGCGCAAACACAAAAATCCAAGGAGAAGTTGTATGATTCCAATTACTTGAGTCTGACTTGAAGGTTGTTTGCAAGTTCCTGTTTGGCAGTGGTGCACTTCTTTTTTATGTCAAGCAACTTGCGGTGGTTGTTAAGCATGATCATCAGCTGGTTGGTATGACTCAGACAAAGATCAGGCAGAACAGATGTATCCTTCAGGTTTTCAGCTCTCTTCTGATTGGCCAAAAATCCCTATTGAAGGAAGATACTTCGTAAGCACATTACACATTTAGATTTTTTTCCCCTTTGTCTTTATATTCACCTGAGCAAGTTCTTTCTGTTCATTTACCAGTTTCTTACAACTTGCAATCATTTGATCAAGTGCATACAACCTGTCTTCAAGCCCCTTGATAGCTTTCATATTTTGATTATCAAGCTTTGCAATTGTGTCACGACAATCTCCCAGGAAGGGTTGAATAATGCGTGGATCAAGCTGAAAGACAACATTATTAAGAATGATTAGGCATTTTTGGCACAGTTTTGACCATTCTGATCAAGGCTAGTGACTCACCCTATTAATCGAATCAAAGCATTTTCTTACAACAGATTCCACATCATTGGGTCTGTCTTGCACGTTGATCCAATCGAGTAGTGTAACATTAAAAGCGTTTGTGTTGGTCAACTCTTGAGGGTCATCATCGAGTAACGCAGCTGTTAGGCCTCCACTGTCAGTCATTTCATGCGTTTCCTGGTCTCTGGTCACCTCACTCTTTGCCAAGGTTGAAGCAGAGACCGAGGCATTTGACTTGGGATGCTTCTTTGCACCAGCAGAGCAAAGCAAAGATTCAGTAGATCTTTCATCTTCTGAAAAATGTTCAGGCGTGGAGCTCGATTTTTCTATGCTCTCGCGATAACTGTGACGTGTCAAACATTCCAGCAGTGGTATCCTGGCCATTACTGCAACTGCTGTACCGAGCCTGCAATCATGTGCCGTGTTAATGTACTGTATATCACTAGTATTTTAACACTTGTTTCCAATTATGAGCCAATACTTACATTTGATATTTATACAGTTAAAATAATAATACAATAATATTATACTACTTGGTTCTTGCACTCACTTTGTTAATTTAAACTTGATTTCTTCTAAGTCCTGTTGATAATTTGTATATGAAGTTTCGAATTTTGCAAGCAACTTTTGATAAGACAGAGTGCAGTCATCGAGATTCGCCATAATTGCAGCCCAGCCTTGATGTTGAAGATGTTCATCATGAACTAATCGCTCACAAAAAGAAGACAGTTTCTTGGCAACTTCAAACATTTCCTGTTAACGTAAAAATCATCACGCAATT